TAAACGCCGCGCGCGGAGATTACGAAAGTCTGTCGCGGCGATAATGCGTTTCGCGCGACACGCACGCGTTGAGAGAGGCCCGGGGAGGAGTGTCCGAGCAGATAGGCTCGGAAACGCGCAGACTTATTATCAGATTCCCACCTTTCGCGTTCCTCGTTCCTTCGCGGCGATTAACGGCGATTACCGTGTCTCGCGCGAGCAGCTTTCCGCCATTTTTTCCCCGCGATCGCGAGTGCGACGATGATCCGAAGATTTTTTTAAACGATCCTTTGTGGTTTCATTAACGGTAGAGCTTATTATCGGATTCCTACGCTTCGACTTCCTCGACGATTACCGGCGATCACGAGGCTTTTTCTTCTCATTCTGAAACGACGACGCGAAGATTTTTTAATAATAGAATTGTCGAGCAATCACTGTTTATTGCTTCGTAGAAATTGTAAGGGTTCATCGGGATTCTAATCGGTTTGTATTTTAGTTTGTTGTGAAATTAACTCATCTTTCTCGTTCCTTTTCAATCGTTGCGAAAGAAGGAATCGGGGATTATTGTGATTCGGTTGAGATATGATGTTTCCGCTGTGAGTTGAAGTGTCCAGTGAAACGATTCGTGTGTTTCATTGATCACTTCGAGTGTTCGTTCTATTTGGACGTAGTCGACACGAAGAGGCCGAGAGGAGGGAAACGCGGTACACGAAATGCGTTTCGAAATTTTCTTTCTCCACGGTGCCCGAGACACGCCGGTGGAATGGAGACGTTTAATTTGTGAACAGGTCCCCTATCGGCCCGTTAACTCGCCTTATAAATTAGCTACAAGACCACGCAGCGAGATAAAGCAGTATACGCGTGCTCTCTCCGCCTCGGATCGCCCTTTCTTCGAGCAGGTAAATGTACACGAAATTAAGATATCCACCGCCGAGGTCGCTAGACTAAATCGTTCCCATTTATATAAGAGCTTGATCCCGGAGACCTCAACGGCGATTTATGCCGACTCCCTTCGGAACCGGCGATTTTGCTGCACATCGCGTCGCCACGGGGATTTCGTTATTCTCGATAAAAATCCTGTGCTATAATTTATTCGAACCTTAGACCGCGGTCAGCGTTCGATGAACGATCGGTCTTGATTAGGTGAACATTGAGTTACTAGAAAATTCGAAGCTCGAACTCTGTTCTATCTACATCGAGAAACTTGTTCGAAGTTTTAGTAGTAATCTACGGTCCTATAATTTATATCCAATTCATCAGTCGTTACTAAGACTTTGTTTCAACCGCGTTTCTTACCATTTTCTAGAGATCCTTAGCGCTATAAGAAACTCAACATTCCAAGCCTCCAATTAAAAAGATACTTCCACCCTTAGCTACACATTATAATGCACAACTTACTACTAAAGCTACTTCCAATTAAAAAGTTACTTCCACTCTTAGCTACACAGTATAATGTACAATTTACTACTAAAGCTACTTTCAGTTAAAACTACACAGTATTATATACAACTTACTACTAAAGCTACTTCTAGTAAAAGCTACACAGTATAATGCACAACTTACTACTAAAGCTACTTCCAGTTAAAGCTACACAGTATAATGTGCAACTTACTACTAAAATTACTTTCAATCAAAAAGCTACTTTCACCCTTAGCTACACAGTATAATGTACAACTTACTACTAAAGCTACTTCCAATTACAAAGCCACTTCCACCCTTAGCTACACAGTATAATGTACAATTTACTACTAAATCTACTTCCAATTAAAAAGCTACTTCCACCCTAAGCTACACAGTACAATAAACAACCGACTACCACAAAGTTCTCAATTAATATATCAGTCGAATCGAAATCCTACAACACACAATCCCCGCAATTAAGTCAGCAACTACACCGAGCGGCCGGGTTGTGCAAAGTCTATGCCATGCTAGATCTGAGTTATGTCAAGCCTATGCTATGCTAGATCTGAGCTATGCCGGGTGTAACGTTACACCGTGCGTCGACCGGCGGTGCAAAAAGTATGCGTGAACAGATTGCGTCGGCTATCCGAATGCAGAGCGCAAATGCGCCGGGGTATGCGTTCTGTAACGAGAAGCGCGCGCTCGTGAGGCGAAACGCCGTAGAATCAGACTACTACCGGCTCTAAAGACTGGTTCGCCCGGCTGCCGGCGGTGTTTCATATCGAGAATCCGCGTACTCATCGAACCATCGGGTCAGCGTGTTACGTAAGCAAACGAACCGCGAGGGAACGCTGCTTCTCGCCTCGGACCGCGCGCCGGTAATCGAATCTAACTGTCCCCCCTCCGCCCACCGTCGTTCGCCGCCACGTCTCTTTCTCTCATTACCGTTATTATGTGTCACCGAGAGAACCTACTAACTCGCCGCCGCGTATCGCCGACAACGTAATCACTGCGATTACCTTCGTCCGCTTTACTGATTTCCATCGAAGCCTTCCTCCTCGCGCGCCTCGAGGACGATAGGAAATTCCATCCGACCGGAGGATACGCGAGACACTTAATAAACCAATTATCGTTCTATGGAGTGTTTGTCGTTGATCTTTCGCGTGGTTTCTTTTGCGTTGCCTATGGTGTTGTCGTGAATGCTTCGCTTGTGGGAACTAGCGAGTCCGTTTGGTAGTTTCGATGAGTTTAAACCCTTGTAATGACGAAGATGAAGATTTCTAGATTAACCCTTTGCACTCGAGAGGCGACTCTCACTCACCACTTGGTTTTGTACAGTAAAGTTATGAAATTTGATATTTAATGTTACTCTATGTATAAGGCGTCAATTTGAGAAATATAGAAATAGTAGCTTTGTTTCTCGATGTACGTGTGATTTCTCTTTGAGTTAATTTCACAAAATATCGTGTTTATCTCATCGTCAAATGTTCAAATATTTCTACTGAAAAACTGCCGAGTTCAAAGGGTTAATCGAATAGAAATCAACGTTGTTCATTGCCCACGGATCAAAGTAGAAAATTACTTTTCCTGTTATCAATGTATTATCTTCGAATTCAATTTTTGATTAAAGTGCCGATGGTAAAGTGTTACACGAGCTTAGTAGAGAAAGCTTAGTATCTAGAATAATCAAGCACTCGTAGATCAAGACTGTTCTATCGCGTCTTTATCATAGTAAACCAATCACCAACGATCCTCCATTCATTCATACACATTCGCCTCCCAAAAGGGAACCTGAAAGTTGACCAAAGACTCGAACAATCTCCGCTCTGTGCTCCTTCCATCTATCTCCCGCGAAGGATCCCTTCGCAAGACGAAAGCAAGAAGATTCTCCTTTATCAGACCGCATCGATCTGACCAGGACACCGATCTTCCATTCGCCAGATCCCCGATGGTGTTGCTAATAAAACCTACCCGACCGCTACCGAACCTCCGCGTGACCCGTGTTCACGTCAGCGACGTACAGTGGAATATTTGGCCGATCCGGCTGGCTGCAAGTCTGTAAATTTTTTATTTTACGTAAACTATAACATTTTTGTTGTTTGAGATAGCTGAATATGCGAGGAACATGTCTTAATAATTTATTGACTATTGAAGTAGTCGAGAAGTGCTGAGCTATCTCGAAAGTTAGGCGTTATTTGGTTATGATATTTCTTCAGTATCAAAGTTTCTCGGGTCTTTATCTTTATCTTTGTTTTTAGTTTTATTTCTAGTTTTAGATCTAGCTCTTGCAGTAGCTCAAGCTCTAGATCTAGCTCTATCTTTAGCTCTACTAGTTCTAGGTCTATTAGTTCTAGCTTTAGTTGTAGTTCTAGTTCTAACTCTATCCCTAGTAGTTCTAGCTCTAGTAGTTTTAGCTATAGTAGATCTAATTCTCTTAGTTCTAGATATAGTAGTTCTAGCTATAGTAATTCTAGCTCTAGTAATTCTAGCTCTAGTAGTTCTAGCTCTAGTAGTTCTAGCTATAGTAGTTGTAGCTCTGGTAATTCTAGCTTTAGTAGTTCTGGATCTAGTAGTTTTAGTTCTAGTAGTTCTAGCTCTAGTAGTTCTAGCTCTGGTAGTTCTAGCTCTGGTAGTTCTAGCTCTGGTATTTCTAGCTCTAGTAGTTCTAGCTCTAGTAGTTCTAGCTATAGTAGTTGTAGCTCTAGCACTAGCTTTAGCACTAGCTTTAGCTTTAGCTATAGTAGTTGTAGCTCCAGCACTAGCTCCAGCACTAGCTCTAGCCTTAGCTCTAGTAGTTCTAGCTCTAGCTCTAGCTCCAGCTATAACGATCCATTGAAGACACAGCACACCTTAAAAACCTTGGTTCCAAAGAACTACATTTCCAAAACACATGAAAACTATGCGAGGAATTTCAACAGTAAACCACCTACACAAAAAATGCCTATCTTCCAAGATACCTCAGCACTTCTCGGTTGCTCCACAGGTAAAAATAATAATTACGACATTGTTCCTCGCATATTCAGCTACCTCAATCAGCAAGAACTGTACAGTATCGGTAAAATGTTTAAACCGCACTTTTCGTCGGGCCGATCGGGCGAATACCCCACTGTGCGACGGTAGGATCTTGTCGTCGAACGACGATCCGTCATGCGGCCCGATCGGCCTCGTCCGGACCCTCTTTCCGGGCCAAAGGGACAAACGGGGACAACTCCGGTCCGCGTCTGGGATACCGTAAAGTTTCGTCTTTATTACCGGCTGATGCGGCGAGGGCGGACGAAAGAGCGAGAGAGGAGGGACGGCCGAGGTGGACAGTCGAGGCGAGGAGTGGGGGGATGATTGATGCAGCCCGGTTATCGGGGACACGGACCGAAGAAGATAGCCGATCCACGGGTCTCATTACCGCGACACGAGATGCTCATATTATCGTTATTTTTATTAAACACCGCTCGTACGTTTTCGCTCGGGCCACGACGATAAAACCCCGGGCCCGGCGAGCGGAGGGAAACGGTTCGATGAAATATTAGCCGTGTTCGATCCCGCAGCATTTACCTACGGAGATGTCTCTCGGCCGTTGCGAAATCAACGGCGACGACGAGCGGAGGGACTCGAGATTTCGAGGGGAGCGACCGGATATTACGGTTTCGGGAGATTTTCCTGGAACGGAGGCGACGGGAATGTTTCTTCCTCAGAGGTTCGCAATGGATGGTTAATTGATTTCTAAGACGATCTATTCGAACAGTGCCTGGAAATCGAAAGTTGCATTAGGAAACAGTTCATTCGTCTATCATCATTGTATTCGTATTACCACTACTGTAAATCGTTTGTAGTAAGTTCAATCAACGAATGAACCGCGATAAACGACTATACTCGAAATTCCGTTGCTTCGGAGTTTGGCAACCACTGTTTATCAGGCCACGTGGTCCCTCCCGATCGCCCAGGAACTCCTTTCGTGGGAGGCGCGCGGACACGTTCCGCGATCGACGTCGAAAGGATCGACACCGGCATACCTCGAAAGTTATTGTCGATCGAGCCTCGCGGAGGGGATCGATCCTCGTGGACGCGGATCCTTAATGGACATTTAAAGCTGCCCTCTCGAGCCGAAAAGCTGCTCGGGACGGACACGCTCGCTTGCCCCGTAATAATTGACTTGGCAATGCGTATAAACCGCAACACGCCGCGCGGACGGATAATTAAGTAACAGAATTAGGCTTCAGGTGGACGGACGGACGAACGGACGGAGCAGGAAAGAAGATAAAACCGTGAACGGTGCGGCATATGGTATGCTTTTATGCTCGCCTCTCGGCGGTGGCGATGGCGTTCCGTGCGCGTACGAAAAGGCTCGCTCGAAAAATGACGATTCATTCGGGATGCTTGACTTCTGTCATGACCACTACGCTCGCTGGCTCCCTCTTCACCTTCCGTTCTGCTTTGTCCCGGCTCCCTCTTTCCCTCTGTCTCCGTTCTCACCCCGCCGCGCGGGCCGCGTCTGTCTCTGTCAACGCTGCCGGCCGAGACCCGCAGTCGCCCCCGTGTGTTTTTTTCATTATTCGTTGCTCGCGTGGCCGTTCGGCCGCGAAAACACGGCACCACAGCCCGTAACCGCAACTTCCTCGATCCTGCCTTTCCATCGGTCTAATGCCTCTCATTGGTGTTCCAACGATGCGTGATCGCATCGTGCAGCTAACGACGGCGCAAGTTAAAAGGATTCCCGATGACTCCCCGAACCGGTAATGATCGATATCGGGGCCCCGGCGATCGGGATCGCGGATAATGCGGCCGGCACCGCTTTCGACATCGGGGGATTGCGCTGATTTTCGCCCGTCGAAATCGTTCGTTACGTTTGTTTCTTCGTTCCGACGGCTTTCTGGGGCGCGCTCGTCGAATTTGAAAATTTAATCTCGGTCATCGCATATTCGTTATCTGAATTCGAATCCTCGATCCTTGTTCAATGTTTTTATGATACAGTATATGAATTCGTCACGTGAAATTTCATTTTATCATTCATTTAGTCTATTGTCTACTTATATCAATAGCTCGCAGCTGTGGTTATCGTTCTTCCTATAGTTTCCCCGAAGAGAGAAGAATACAAGAGAACTAACAAGATACAACCGTTCACGAAGTTTCGGTTCGAGGAGCATCGTCATCGCGATGACGAGGCGACGTTTACGAACGCGTCGCAAATCGGAACCTTCGTCGAATCCTGAATATGACCGGCGGTGGCCGAAGGGCGGAGACACGTCCGCGAATCAACCGCGCCGATGAAATTTCGCAGATTCACTTTCGGGCCAGTTTTCCGATAATTCAATATAATAGAAACGCGGGAGCGCGCTCGCGGCGCGCATGGTAATTGGTGTTAACGAACACGCTCTGTCATTCACGACAGCGAAAATGACTGCGGCCGAGCGGAGTGTTTCCGGCTCACCGGCGAACTTCCGCGGCAGAACAATGGGAGCGCTTAACGCACCGGCGAAAGTCGTTAGTCAGTGTTATATTCCGCGTCGGTATGCGCGCCATGCTGGCCGAATGCGTTAATCTAATTTTCTGGGCATCGATTAACGCTGCCCGGTGAGCACGGCCCGATCCTCGCCGCCCCGGATAAACGATCGCGGATAAATAAAAAGCGGCCGCGTTTAATAAATCGATGGGAATCTCGTTGAATATACGCAGGCCGACTCGGGGACGCCGGCGTAACCAGAAAAGTAATGATTTTATGCAAACAACTAATTGGGAAATATGGAATAATATTTTTCCCGCGCGACGCGTCGCCATTTTCGGGTAATACCGTTCCGAGGCTCGCCTTTTTTTAACACTGTAACTACCGAGCGAACTATTTTATACTTTAAAGAAATTCTGAGAGTGTTCTCTGAAGTTTCACGGTTATATTACTTTCCTTAATAAATTAGGTCTATAGATAAATGATAACGATTTAATAAAAATGATTGTAATTGGAAATTAGGTAAAAAAATCCTTATTCAAAGGTTCGTCCTTTTTAACACTAACTACCGAGCAAACTATTTTATACTTTATATAGATTTTGAGAGTGAGTTCTCTGAAGTTTCACGGTTATATTACTTTCTTTAATAAATTAGGTCTATAGATAAATGATAACGATTTAATAAAAATGATTGTAATTACAAAATTAAGTTGAAAAATCCTTATTCAAAGTCTCTTGTATCTTTAATATTTCCATAGCTTATGAAGATTGAATAAGGATTCCATTGAATTTTTAATTGCAATCGCTTGTATTGAATCGTTATCACATTTATCTATAGAACTAATTTATTAAGGGAAGTAATATAAACTTCAGAGAACTCTCAGAATTTATATAAAGTATAAAATAGTTTGCTGGGTAGTTAGTGTTAAAAAGACGAGCAAGAGACATAAGACACATTTAACATATCTTTTTAATAATTCTAAACAAAGAAATCTAAAATAATTCTCCAAATTTTACGCTATTTAGTATTCATAGTATTTGCATCAATGAAGAAACACCCTGTCATTGTACAATATTCCTCGTTCCTTTCGTCAACGTATCATCCACCAACTTTCAACCGATAAAACCAAGCCGAATCCTCGCGCTACGCTGTTAAGACAGTGAATGATTCAAAGTGGGGGGTTATAGAGGATCGCTCGGAGCGAGTTAATCAAAATTTCCTGGGAATCGGACTGTACACGGTAACGAGAAAAGTTCGGGACGCCGGTGTCGAATTGGACGCCCATCTGCGTCGTTGTTCGCCCGCTTTCCCAAATTATCCTCGCGGCGAGGAATTTATAAGGTGGGAAGCACCAGCCAGCCGTTCACCGGCTTCGTTTGCACGCGTTGCCCGGCTCGGCGGGGGTGCCCGGATTCCTTTTGCCTCCTCCATTCCTTAACGCGCCGGCTCGAAAGCGGATCGTGAACAAATTGGCGCTACCGAAAACCGTTCAACGATGTGGCGGGTCTCTACACGTACGCGGTCGCCTCGATCATCGGCGGTCGAACGAAACTATTGAAATCTTCAATCAATCGCTCCAGAATTCATTAAAATTCTTCGATTCACTGTTACCGAAAGAGTTAAAATTGTGACGAATAGATTCCCTGGGAGTATTGGAACAGGTGAAATTGAAACTTTCAGCCGTTCGATGACAGAATTTTTCTTCTTTATTTGTTCTGCCTTCGACGCGTTAACTCTTTGCACTCGAGAGGTGACTCTCGGGCACCACCTGATTTGATGAAGTAAAACTATAAAATTTGATATTTAATATTTACTTGTGATTTCTCTTTGAGTTAATTTCAAAAGATATCATCTTCGTCTAGTTAGAAAATTTTAAGTATTTCTGACGAAATACTTCCGAGTGCAAAAGGTTAAATAATGAGAATTGACATTCTTATTTGACACATCTCTATTAACCCTTTGAACTCTGTAGGCTCCAATATTGCACCAGGAATAATATTAGATATTTTAATGAATTTTAAAGAAACCACCCTAAAATTATTCGATTTTTGACACATCCAAATTTTGTACTAGCAAGGAAAACAAAAGATCGAAGAAATGTTATAGCATTTATAATCTTCGCTAGGAATACTATAAAAATTAGTTGCAGTTGCTGATACATTACAAAACAACTTGGAGTGGGTTAATAAAATCATATCCGGTGAAAAGGTATCATGATTCTTTAGAGTTTTCGTTAACCCTTATAATATCGAGTTAGATTCACGATGATTTTCAACGGAATTCGATCAATCTAAACGATATTTATTTATTTTCAATATAAATGAAATGTTACTTGTCTATTACCAACCTTCAATTTATGGAGTAAACGTAGACACAGAATAAGCATGAAACCCTTTTCCTTCTCTACTAAATTATTAACGATTAGTTTAGTTAGTTATCAAGCACAGTCGTAAAAGAAATCATAGAACAAGAAGTCAATGAAAACTCTGCTACAATCTACACTCAGATTTTAACACTAGAACTACCAAGCAGTCAAATTGACTTTCTTAATCGCGCGTAAAACGTAGAACACCGTTCTACATGTAATTTCCATCAGAAAAGACATGATTCGGAAGGTAAATGTTGGACGAATAACTGTTATTTACGAGCATTAACTGTTTCATTCGATTCTGCTCGCGCTCTCGGGCCACAGTGTGGTCTAGCGACGATGAAAGGAGCCACGGGCGGTGCCCGGGGGAAGGAGAAGAAAAAAAATGAGACAATGTCCCCGAAAATTGGACGAAATTAGTGAAAATCCTCGTGGTTATATAGAAGCTGGCCCCCGGGTCGGGATCCAATTACACGTGGCTCCATTCACGTGGATCCTTCGGGCTGCCCTGTGGGCAAGTCGTCTCCCGAAATCTCTTTTTAATGGCCGAGCGGTCCGCGATCGACCCGCTCTCCCCGATCCCGTGATCCCTTCGCCACGGACGCGCTACGTCATA